TTTCAGTATTAATACTTGTTTATGCTACCATAGTTTCAGTATTAGCACTTGTTTATACTACCATAGTTTCAGTATTAGGACTTGTTTATACTACCATAGTTTCAGTATTAGGACTTGTTTATGCTACCTTAGTTTCAGTTATTAGTTATGCTTAGTTTCATATTATACTACCATAGTTTCAGTATTAGTACAGCACTAGTACTTTTATGCTTCCATACGGTATTAGCCTTGTTTATACTTAGTATTAGTTTTTATGCTACCCTGTAGTATTAGCACTTGCTTATGGTATCATGGTTTCAGTATCAACACTTGTTTATGCTTCCATAGTTTCAGTATCAACACTTGTTTATGCTTCCATAGTTTCAGTATTGGTACTTGTTTATGCCACCATTAATGCAAATCTGTGACTAACGGTTAGTAAATATCTTTAACAATTTTATGATACTCGAGCACTAGGTTTCAATATCCCTAGCAAATTGTTTATTTATAAAGAAAAGAAAAACCCACTGTACCCTAACAAGCATGTCATTAGAGTCAACAGGGATGTTTCTTTCAAAGTTGGAATGCATCTGTCTGAAAGATAAGGAACCAACAGTCTGCATAGAAATAAGCCAGATCTGTAAAACAGATGTGCAACAGCTAAAGTCTAGGAGTGGGTGAAGAACCAGAAGTTTTTCTCAGAGTTTACAGGCGCAAAGGAGAAAGAAGAATAACACTTTCAGCACTTGACGAGTGATGTGATCCTTATCACACTGGTCACCTTTACTTCCCAGAAAATCTTGTGGTGCCCACTTAGACTGTGTTTACCTGGAAACCCATGTAAATGAAAACAATCTCAGCTCAAAGGAGGTTTGAACAGGCAAGTGTGCTAGCCACTGCACCACCACAGCATCACTTGTATTATGTGTATCACTTGGATGATCCGGCTTGCATTTGTGTCAACCCTATCGCCCTGAGAGAGTTAAATCTAGTCACTTCGTTTGTGTCAACCCTATCGCCCTGAGAGTTTATCACTTCCGTGATGAACCCTGGCCCTGAGAGAGTTAAAATCTAGTCACTTCTGTTTGTGTCAACCCTATCGCCCTGAGAGAGTTAAAATCTAGTCACTTCCGTTTGTGTCAACCCTATCGCCCTGAGAGAGTTAAAATCTAGTCACTCCCGTTTGTGACACAGCTCTGCTAATGCCAGTATATGGCCTTTTCTGCAGTGACTTGTGTCTCAAAAATAGTAGTTAGTATTGTTGACTGACATATTGGAAAAGTGTGACTGCGATATGTGTTACGTGTACTGCACTCCTCTTCTTCTTCCTCTTCTTTTCCTGAGCCTGCCCTTAAAATGGGTGGTTGGCAACCTTGTTTTGGTTTACAGTGAGGCAGCGATATCAGTTCCTGTTGGCCCAACACATCTGATTTCAGTAAACTCCTAATTTGTTGACATTTACAACATGCCTCTGTGGTTCAGGCATTGTGAACGTGCTTTGCAGTACCAAGGTGGCAGGTTATATTGTAGCTGAGCCAACTGTTCAAAAACGCAATGGCAAACTACTGAACATAAAATTGTCTAGTGATATCACAAATGGCAAAAAATTGTTCTACTTGGTTCTGCAACGTCCTGTAAAGGATACGTTACTAACTTATTGAGAAGCAATGGGTCTATTCTTCATTTTCCCCGTGGGGCCCTGGAATCCACATGGAGAAGATATCAACAGAACAACACAATTACATCCAAAATAAAACAAGAATACAATATAAACAAGGAACATAGAAAAAGAAGTTATGACTGGACTTCAATTGCAGATAAGGAATCTAGCTTCAAAGAACCCAACAATAAAAATGTTAACTAAAGCATTCCAGAAAGCAAATAGCTGGCAAATATTGGCTTATTTAAATTCCCATCTAACGTTTGTTTACATCACTACCTATCCTTCAAACTACACAGTCTCAAAGTTAGTGATCTGTTTGCATAAATACTGACAAGACTGATGTAGAAGGAAAATACTGATGCTCAGTCTATAGCAGTTGTTTTCAACCATTTTTAGGCAGTGACCTCTCTGAAAATATGGTAAGACACACCCCCCACCCACCCCCAACTTTAAAAATAAATGTGATTAAAAAGAGGTCAAAAAAGAGCTGACACAGCAACAATGAAGATACTTTTAGTAAGAGTGTGTTCTTAATCTATAATAAATGCTTGTTATCTTATAAATTCACTTTTTTTTTTTTTTTAAATGGTAGATGTACAAACTACTTTTGAAAACAAAAACATTCTTGGCTTTTTGTTTGATAAATTGTTGATACCAATACTTTATTTTATAATTAAACTAAAGAAAAAAAAAGTGGGTGTGACAAATTATTACAAGTACACATGCACACAGTTTTCACAACAGCTTGATCCCCCCCCCCCCCCCCCCCCCCCCCCACTTCCCCCTACCTGAAAGTTCCTTGCGCACCCCCCCCCACCCCCAGGTTGAAGAACACTGTTGTATAGTATCATAGACTCCTGGGATGTCAATCCTCAGTCTTTAGGCAATATATCATCATACATATGCATAACGCTGAAGAGTTTCTATAGCACACTTCACGTACAGACAGAAGATGGCAATATATTCTGCCCATCTTGAGAAACAGCAAACTGAGAATCACCAAGCAGGCACTGAAATGGAAAACAAACTGATGGAGAAAACAAGAGACATCCTAAGATAAATGTAGTTGAGAGAAGATATACGTCTTGGACTGGGCTCTAGCCATGAAATTGAAAGGACTGCACATGGTAGAACGGAATTGATGACTTAACTGCAAGGCTTATGTGATGCATAAGGACACAATATGATGATTATGATGGCGATTATGATGATGAATGTTTATGAGAGAGGCCAGGGACGCCAGACTGAATTCCATACACAGTATTGGGCACTGGATATGAGGGATGTGAGTTGTGGACTATCTCCCAGTCCTTAAGAAAGAGAATACAGGCTTTTGAGCTGAAATGCTATAGAAAAATAGGCACAGGATACAAGTGACTCCTTGAGTATGAAAGTACATGAGGTGGGAGAGCTGGCGAGAGACCGAGTTTCTTTCAGGCAGACCGTGATGAGAGGGATGTGAGAGTGATTAAAAAATTCAACTCTGAGGCCTGGTCGACAATGGCAGAGCAGAATAATAAAGATAATCTTGGGTTAATGGACTGGATGCCTAGTCTTTTCAGATAAGGATTTTAAAAACTGGATGTGAAACCTGCAAGGTGTTTTCAAAGCATGAAAATCTCATACACTGATTGAGAGGGAAATGGGAAACCAATACATACTCCCTGGAAACAAGTTTATGGGCCAGTCACAAACCTTGATTTGTAGTAAATATTTGCAAAAAACAAAAGGACACCAGTCTCCGTCTGACTGAATAACCTAATTCTGACAGAATGATTCTCAAACACATAAGTCACATCAGTATTTACAAATTTTCTCCTTAAATATAAAGTAATCAGTCACACACACACAGGATGTGACAAAGCAAATAACAAAGTAAAGGCATAGAGAAATGATTAACAAAGCAATAATATTGTCTCGCTGTAAAATACCACTAGTTAACAAGGACATGAACAATATATTGCACAATTTATTACCTGGTATTTGTTACTGTACAGCATAGCTGTTGGTGTGTGTGCGTGCATACATGTGAGAGACAGAGACAGAAAGAGAGAGAGAGAGAGATACAGAGAGAAAAGAGACAGACAGAAACAGAGAGAGAGAGAGAGAGAGAGAGAGAGACGAGAGAGAGAGAGACAGAGAGAGAGACAGAGAGAGAGAGACAGAGAGACAGAGAGAGAAATTTGTGCACTTCAGTTTAAAAAAAAACAGGATTTTTTCCTTAGGCTTCAATATAAAGAGACAAAAAATATGTAGCAATTAATGCATCAATATATTGTTTATGTTCTCGTTATTTTAATAAACAATAGCCAAGACCATGTGAAAAGTAAAGGACCCGTTTCCACACTTCTGGTGTATTGGGCATACAATACTAGACCTACATTTATTAGACTAACTGGTACTCGGTGTTTGATGTAGTCAACACTGCACCGGCCACCTCTGTTTCCCAGGACTTTACTGTTACCCATTTAAGGCTGGGTCAACCCGGGAGAAAAAGACATTTTTGAAAAAAGTCTGGATCCATTCAGACTTGAACCCAAGACCCTGGGATCCGCAGGCAAGCTTCTAGCTGCTACACAACAGTTTGCTCCCAGCAAAGGCACAGATACAGCTGGAAAACTTACCACACATGTGTAAATAAAATAAAAGTAAGTGATTTTCTTGGCACACTGGGTATAAGTTTGTATATAGTATTTCAAAGACCAGTGATTCCCAAAACTGTGTGCCGCGGCGCCCCGGGGTGCAGCAACCTCTTCACAGGGACGGCACAAAATATTGTAAAAGCTTCATAATTAATTAAACAAGGACACAAATAGTCACAATTTTACTTGGTTAGGGCGCCTTGGAAAAATTTTAATGGAAAAAAGGTGCTGCGGCCAAGAAAAGTTTGGGAAACACTGTCATAGACCAATGTTGTACACTCAATGGTCAACACTATTTAGGCCATCTTTACTTTCCAGGTACCCATTTGAGGTTGGGTTAACCTAATAACACATTAAAGTGCAGGTTAATTTACCACTGAATCCCAGAATGTAGATCAAAGAGGTAAAATCTGCTGCTATTAAAGATCAGTCTTGCTATAATTATGGATTACTACTGCTGGCTGCATCACAGACATCCATTTGGAATGGTAACCATTCTGTAAATAGGAAGAATGATGCTGGCTATATTATGTATCTAATATCAAGTCCATGATGCTTAGTTGACAGTAACTGCTGCCGCCACAAAAACATTGGAGGGGCAAAATTCGGACACCACCCGCTGACAAGTACTCGCTGACAAGGGAGCAGATCTGCACAAATAACAAAGATATCACATGCTCTTGATTTTACGTGAAGAGATGATTGTCCTGGGTGCTTCAGTAGGTGTTCTCATGTCCGGCCAGCACATACAGGTTAGAGCTGGCTGAAGGGTCATCGGTTGGTCGACTTTCCAGACAAATGACCCTAGAATAAAGAAAAGATGTGACACTATAGACAAAAACGCAACAGACAAATTTCATGAAATAGCTATTTATTATTTAGATCATATAACTAAAAAATACGGTGAAGTAGCAGCTGGACGCTCGCGTGCAGATTGGAAAGGTTGTGGGTTTGCTCCCTGGCGGAGCCGGACATTTTAAAAAAATGACCTTGACTCCCAGGTTGACCCAGCCTTGAGTGGGTACCGCGTGCAGTCCTGGGAAAAAAAGGTGGCCGGGGTAATGCTGACCACATCACGCATCTTGTGCCGATTGGTCTATAAAAATATAGGTCTAGCCCTATATGCCTAAAGGCGTGGAAAAGGGGCCTTTACTTTACTCTAGTAACTAAAAAATATGTAAGAGTCAAAATAAATAAATTTGCAGGACATTTACGGCATTGGTGAAAAGTCACAAGCTAGCCTGGTTTGGGCATATGGTGAGAAACGATTCTATTGCAAAGACTGTATGCTTCGCACAGTTGCACCTTTGGCACTTACTCCTGCAGAACTTCTTTGTGGTACACAGGTGCCTGCGACACTTCAATAAGACTCAAGCACCACAGGCTCACACAAACATCATATACGGCAAGCATACGTCCAAGAAAAGCATATCATAACATCCCCTTCCCCCTCCCCCCCCCACAAAACAAAATACAGGTCGTGCGACCCGCCACAACATGAATGGGAGGGAAAGGGACTCTCATCATATGGGCGAGTTCGTGATGAGTTCCAAGAACAATCTATGCTGTTTTTGAGGCCAAGATAGGAGACACTATAACCAACTTTTAAAGCAACCAATCAGTACTATATCTTGGACTTGCTATGCACTGGATGACTGAGCATACATGGAAATGCACAATGAGCAAGTGACCTTGACTGTGGCTATGACAACACCAATATCACACAGACAGACAGATCGACAGGGGAGGGAGAGAGAGAGGGGGGGAGGGAGAGAGGGAGGGGGAGAGAGAGAGAGAGAGAGAGAGAGAGAGAGAGAGAGAGAGAGAGAGAGAGAGAGAGAGAGAGAGAGAGAGAGAGAGAGAGATGAGAGAGAGATGTACAGGATCTATAAGAGATACTTTAAAGAAAGAGAGAGATGAGAGAGAGGCAGAGAGAGAGAGCTTCAAATGAGAGCTGCAGAAAGATGGTGATGATATGTTACAAAATATAAGGGCTACTTTAAAAAAGCTAATAAAAGTAAATCAAATCAAATATTACAACCAACTAACAAGAGCAGCAGAATAACAAGTAACAACACTTGTCTCATTTGAGTTGCATCTGTGTGTTGTGTTTTATGTGTGTGTATATTTACTGTGTCTATGTTAAGTGTTGTGTCTGCGAGAGTTTGAAGCCTGTGTATGTGTTCAGCCTATGTGTGTTATCTTGTGTCTGTGTTGTTGTTTTTTTGTCTGTGTATGTGTTGAGTCTATGTGTGTTGTGTGTCTGTACGCATGTACTGTAGCCTGTGAGTATGCCTGTTTATGTTGTGTGTGAGTAGTCAGTGGGTAAGCCGCTTAGTGTGTCAGTGCATCTGTGTTATGTGTGTGCTTGTGTCTGGATGTTTACCTTGCATGTGTGTATTTTTGCATGAATATTTGAAGAAATGCACTTGCCATCCATGCTTTTGATATTTTTCCTTTACATCCATACTTTAAATTTTGATAAATGAACAAAATATGATTGATACATAAAATGCAATTGCTGTATGATAGATGTGGGCTTGAAAGGGCCAAATGTAAGACAGGCCTGCTTGCCCAATTTGTAACCCTTTAGAACTAAAGCCTGTTCATTAATTCATCAGCCGACATGCGGATCGGAAGGTCAAGGGTTAGGATCATGACTTTTTTTTTTAAAAATGACCCTGACCCCCAGGCTGACCTAGTCTTGAGTGGGTACCACGTGTAGTCCTGGGAAGCAAAGGTGGCCAGCATGATGTTGACCATGTTACCCTCCGTGTGCCGACCGGTCTATAAAATGCAGGTTTAGACAATAAGCTTGAAGGCGTGAAAAAGAGTCCTTTACTTTTAAATGTGTTTGTTATTAGACAGTGATCCCCCAGTTGGCTAAACACAGCACACCTCTCTCATCTTCAACCAAGACAGCCAGGCAGCTCAACCCAGTGTTCTAAAAGAGTGCAGAATAACGCTAAGGAAGCACAGCCAACCAACAAGAAGTGAACTGCTTATCCACCCTCGTTACACAGTGAGATCATTTCTGTGAAGGCAGATATGACCGTTCACACCACAATGACAAAGTGCACCATGGGAATACCTTCCCCTTTATTTATTCAACAGCAGGCATAAATTTGCCCCCTAACTACTAAATGGGATAGTGTCTTTCAGCAATTATCATTACACCTGATATGATAAAATCAATGGCTGCATAATGTAGTGCTCCATAGCATCTTTAGAAAAGTCAATATTTACTGAATAGAAAAAGGGAAACAGAATGAGACATTATGGGTTATGAGATAAGAACTGGCAACGTAGCACTTGGGACATTCCAAAAAGTGCTACATCCTCATCTTCAAACAGCAAGTGCAGAATGAGAAGTGAAATAGCCCTTAAAGGCTAAGTTGAGGGGATCGACTTCATTACACTAGGTTTATCCCATATGGCTTGGCCTCTCTCTACAGAACAGCTGGCCATCTGCTGAAAGCGTCACATAAAGAACGAACCACACAGCTCTGGCGATGACCCACTCAGATTTCTGTAAAAACTGCACTAATGAAGTGAACGTTGGAGCTGTGAAATGAACCCACGACTTTCAGAGCATGAGGCAAATGGCTTGAACACTCTACCACACAAACCCCGCCAAATATCCAAACACTACAAACTGCACATAAGGGCAGGAGAATTATCATCAAACTTAATATTTAAACAAGTAGTAAGAATTAGACATGAAAGGTTATGTTACAATGTCTGAGTACCAATCATCTTTTCATTAAAGCAAAAGGGAACAAAAGAAGATCAAAGGGCAGGTCAGCAATCTGCGAGCTGTTCTCACCCTCTCATGGGACTCTTTCAAAGGAGAAACCACTTTTTTCTTGACACTTACTGCCCAATATTAAGTTTAGTACTGAAGTTATTTTTGCTTCTGCCAATGTATTGCTAATAAATTTTCCACATCTATGGATGGAAGCGCAAGGTTTCACTGCCTAAGCTCCTGGCTAACTGCTTGGTGCAACACTGTGAGCTGTGTTTTCATGTGGAATGCCTTTCATTTGTGGAGCGGTTGTGTCATGGTACTGAGTAAGGCGGGTAGCTAGTTTACGTGTCGGCTGGCAAAATACTGTATGTAATAAATTCTCTGTGTTTGGCCAACTTATCTTCTTAACCAACTACTTCCACCAATGACAAACTGCAATTATGGTGGCAACTGTTGAATTTGGACCAGGTTTTCAAATGGGACAATGAGGGACATTTCATTCGATTTTCACTGGCACAGGAGGAACAGAGCATGTATGGGGTGACCCGACTGCAGTGAAGTTGAAACCTCGATTACAAATACTACTACAACTCTTTCTGATAAAAGTATTGTAAAATCACTTTTTCAAACCAAAATTACTGCAGATCTCATTTTTCTGACAAATGTACGGTATTGATCGGATTTATTTTTGGTAAAAGTACTGAACAGATCACTTTTTCTGACAAAAGTTATGTGTAGATTATTCTTTCTGACAAAAGTACTATACAGATAACTCTTTCTGAAAAAAGTGCCATACAGATCACTTGTGTATGTATGTAATGTATGTGGGCATGTATGTGGGTATATTTATGCATGTATGTGTGTATGTTGGTGGATGTATGTATGCATATGTAGCTGTGTAAGTATATGGGTGTATGTGTGTGTATTTAGGTATGTATGCAAGTATGTATGTATGTGTGTAAAGATGTAGGTGTATGTATAGATGTGTGTATGTATGTGGGTATCTGTATGGGTGATTGTGTGTGTGTGTGTGTGTATTTAGGTTTTATGCAAGTATGTATGTATGTGTGTAAAGATGTAGGGGTATTTTGGTTTTATGTATTGGGGATCTGTTGGGTGATTGTATATGTTTTGGATTTATTAATTTTTTGGTTTTGGGAGGAATGTTTTTTGGGGATGTTGTTTTTTCATGTTTTTGGGGAATGCCCCATGTTTTTTGGGGGTATTTGGTATTTGGAAAATTTGGGGAGGCCAAATTTTGTAAGTTTTTTGGGTTTTAGTGTGTTTTATTTTAGAATTATGTTTAGTATTTTTTTTATGTATGTTTAAAGATGTGGTGTATGTAGTAGGTGGTGGTGGGGGTGTTGTTGTTTTTGTTGGGGGTTTTTTAGGTTTTTTTGTGTTTTTGTGGTGGGGTTTTTGTTGTGTATATTTTTGCTGTGAGGAAATGTGTGTTGGGCGTATGGGGTCTTACAGGTTTTATGGTTGAAGCAGCAGCATTTTTGTAGGTGTGTATTATGTATGAAAGTGTGTGGATGTATGTCAAAATGTTATGTTTTTTTTTTCTTTTTGTGTATGATGTAGATGCTGTATGTAGATTAGGATGTCTGTATAGAAATTCAGTATGAAATGTAAAATATATTAGGGGTTTGAGTGTGTAAAATTGGGACCTGAGTTTTTAAGATATCTAAAATGCATTTTCTTTTTAAATCATAACTGCATTATGATAACAGGGATTTGGACTCTGAAAAAAAGTTTAGAAGGGCAAGTTAGAGGGCCCTGCCCAATTTTAACCCCTTTTTAAAAAAAAGTTTGTTTGTTTGTTTTTTCTTTTTTGAAAAAGTTTGTAACGTTATTAACAGAGGAGAGTGTACAGACCTTCTTTTAAGACAAACATGTATAGACCTACCTTCTATTCAGTATTTCAGGACAAATCTAAAAGAATAAAAAATGGGGAGGATTTAAATGAATCACTGTACCCGGAATATTTCGTCACTGAAGAAAGGACGAGGGAAACCAACTTAAAATAAAGGGAAAAAAACGCTTAAAAACTAAC